GACGTGGAACCAAGATCGGATACAGAACGAGCTGAATCAAAGAGATGTACAGTGGAAGTTCAATCCTCCCGCAGCGAGTCACCAAGGTGGCGTTTGGGAACGTCTTATCCGATCAGTCAGAAGAATTCTACACTCCATGTTAGGAGAGCGTCTTGTAAATGATGAAACGCTTCACACATTCTTAACAGAAGTAGAAAAGATCATGAATGACAGACCCATAACGAACGTCTCAAGTGATCCCCGAGATTTGGAGGCACTCACACCAAACCACATATTGCTACTCCGCAAGAACACATCCCTAACCCCAGACTAGATAAAGGATGTCGACAAATATAAAGCAAGATGGAAGCACGCCCACCTGTTAGCAAACGAGTTCTGGCAGCGATGGACAAAAGAATACCTGCCGATGCTGCAAGAGCGACAGAAATGGCTACGAGAAAAAGCTAATTTCAAGGTTGGCGACTTAGTCCTCTTAGCAGATAAGAATACCCCAAGAGGTCAATGGCCAAAGGCATTGATTCAACAGACAATGCCGGATAACGACGGAGTTGTAAGACAAGTGATCGTGAGGACGGCCGATGGAGAGTACCGCCGAGACGTGCGAAAGCTTTGTATGCTAGAAGAAGAATTGTTGAAGACCAAGACTGAAGCCGAGGACCAAGCAAGAAGCAGTCCGCAGAAGAAAGASTAGCCACAAAAGTGAACACGAAGGAATGAAAGCATTCGAGACTTGAACTGTTTATAATTAAGTTACAAGAGACGTTAAAAGTGTTAAGTAATTTAGTAAATGATTGTGTTTAGATGGGCAGAAAAGACCCAGAATAGTCTTTGGCGGGGGAGCGTGTAAGATTAAAAATTTCCGCAGACTAGAGGCCCCGCAGGCGCCATAAATATTTAACATCAAGAATCAGTCGAGCGTGCATCATTAACTTGTAAGTAGTTTCCTTTTTTTTTTCTTTTTCCTTTTTATTTGCCCCTTTTGTGAAGCTTATTAATTATAAGTTGTTTGTTGTAGCGAATCGTATAATCTTCCGCGTAATTGTCGAACAATTGTCAAGCTGGAGCTAATAAATACGTATGTTGGAGTCAATGTGTACGAAGGCTCGACTATTTATGTAGTTGGAGACTACAGAAAGCAAATGGAAATCTTTAAAATATTAAGATGAATTAATTTTTTTATAATAACTTACAAATTTAGCACGTGCTGATTGGTTATTTTTTATCATCAATAAGAGGACAGACAGAAAAAGCAGACGTCAACGAGCATGTGCTCTTTCCGTTGGTTGTTTTGATCGCTAAAAATGAGAAGTTTTTATCGTTTTTGTTATTGTTAAAAACAAATAGACATCAGAAAAACTGCTGTCTATTTGTGAAATTTCTTGCTAAAAAATCATATCCTGTGTTCATGATATACACCATAATATTTAGCTACTTTTGATTACATCCCATTTTATTTTATTAATTTTTATTGATCTCTTTACAAGACATACATAAAAGTTTTAGTTTGAAACATAAAACTGTATTCCCAAGTGATTGATCAAAATACAGAAACCATTAGGGGTATACTAAATGATTATACTGAAAGCTACAATTGTACACACCTTTGGCCTGTGAAGCATCTGCTGAAATTCTTTTCACTCTCTTTCGAAGAACTGTCTGCTCCATTACTTCCCGCTCTTCAAGTGCTCCAATAAATTTTTTTTCCTCTTCAGGGTCCATTGTATCTATTTTCATCCTCTCAATCTCTGGTTTGTAATGAGGTCCACCCAGTCTCACCAACACATCTGAGATCTCACTCCAGTATTTCTCAAAATCATTGTCACTAACAGCTGTTTCTGTGATGTGGCCATAAAAATCATTTCTATAATATTTGACTCGAGCCAAATCAGCCTCTCTACTCTGGTCTATAGCAACAGGAGGCTTGTCCCATCCTGTTGCTGGGGGTGTTAAACCACATATATTACGCAGTAGAACAAATAACAGTGTGATGTCAAAATCTGCTGAAGTGACAGGTGTACTTCGGCTAGCAGGATAGAGTCTGTCCCATTGTCGTTTGTTTAGAATCCTCTTTGCTCTCAGTAGCTTTAGAGTAGAATGCACTGTTGTACTGAGTAGTGTCCTGTGAAGGGAGCTTGGTGAATGGATCGAGTCAAATACATCTCTTAAGACATGTGTTCCACCATCAATCAATAACTTAGAAAGGCGAACAAAGTTTAGATTTTCTTTACTTGAAGATGGCCAACTGGTTGCCATATCAGGTTTATCTCTGTTGAATAACAAGTTGAAAATAAACACTTTTGTTCCAGGAAAAAAGGTTGGGGAGGGGAGGGTCAGTAAAGTTTTATTCAAGGAGTGAGGTCAGCTGTGTATGTGGACTTAACCAAACTGGATAAAAATGTTTTTTTTTTTTAATGAATGCAGTTGGATGATAACATATAATAACCACGATGAGGATTACTATTAACAATTATTCCCTGAAGGCAAAGTGAATACAGTGCAGTCCATAAACATGTGTACATTTGACCGCGGGCAAATCAAGAGCAGATCGCACCACGTGCTCGCGATTTGCACGCGCTCTGCACGCGTTTTGACCGCAAAATGATTGCACCTTTCTCTATTGTTGTTCGCAATTTGCTCGCAATTTGCTCGCAATTTGCTCGCGATCACAGCGTGCTCGCGTGCATGGTGCGCGAGAAAAATCATGAAAAGCTAAATATTATGGCGCGCGGAATGGTTCAAAATTGTCATTTTGATGTAATTGAATATTTGTTTGTCAATTGCGTTACTTCGTTTGAATGTGTCAACTTATCAGTGCATTGCAGTACACAAGCACATTCCATATGTTTTTTTTGTCTATCAATTCTAAAAAAAATAGTCAATTGCGAAAATTCGGTCGATTTACAATAGCTCTAACTCGGTCAATTCAGCAAAAAAAAAACTCGGTCAATTCAGCAAAAAAACTCGGTCAATTCAGCAAAAAACTCTGTCGATTCAGTTGAAACATACGCGTTCCAGTTGACTGACTTCTAATGTTTCGGCAACCAATGAGAACATGTTTTAGTGTCGGGTGTTGACGCTTAGGCGATAACGACGGTATTTTGAAGTTAACTCAAAGAAACACTAAGAAAGTCGTTGGAAATTAAAACCTGTCCGTTTTAGCAAAATTATAGACTGATTTTCGTCCTAATTTCAAAGGCTCCAAACACAATGTTTTCAAGTCACGGGGCGGTTTCTTCTAAAAACCAGCATTATTCACTCGCTTGTTTGGACCGCTGTGGAAATTTCCCCAAACTAATTTTGATRGAACTTTTAAGATCCATATTAACTTGCTTAGAATCCGAAGTTTTGAAAGATTCTGAATTATACCACATGTAGAATTTATTTTTTGAATTTGTGTGCTGGAGCGTAGTTTTTGCAGACTGAAATTATAGCGAGTTTGACGGACCTCTAAAAAAATAATAAACAAACCCATGAGCCTAAAATGGCATGAAAATGTTTAAGATTAGTTGAAGAACAAATATCTCAAATTAAAAAGGCTGGAAAATGTGTTGCGACTTTACAGGATAAGGTTAAAGAGACACCTAAGATGGCTTTCATTTCGTACCGTCTTGGGCCCGATAACACGGACGGAGCGTTTATTCGATTTTTCTCAGCGATAAGATTTGTTTTGAAGAAATAAAACCCATCACGTTTACTTACTCACTAATACCTAACTCTGAACTCTGCTGTTGCCGCACCTTGCTCGGACAGTCCCTCTTAAAATCTTAAACGGAAAACGGCTTCCTGAAACTTTTGAAACTTGCCAAGACAGCCAACTCATTTACACAGAGTCCTTTGTTCGATCGATGATCAAAACTGTTGACAAACAGACAATATCAACCCAGCTAAACTGCTTGGAATCCAAATTCTTACTTCATTATTCTACAAGCACTATCCTATCTGGTTATTTTGGTCAAATAAGGTTTTTACGCGATTTCAAATCATACTGTTCCAATATCAACTCTTCCATGATCAAAGCTGTGTGTTGTAGAACCTTACAGTAAATCTTATCTAGAACATACTAAGAGATCTACTATATCACACGTAACTAATGTATTTATACACTGATTGATACAAATTAACACGTATAACTTACTTGAAATGCGAAGAGAAGGAAAACAAGAACTAGTACGAGACGCTTGCTTACTTCTTCACCAGAAGCAAACAGGAAATGCAAATCAAACAAGAAAGATAACAGCACAGGGAACCCGGTAATATTTGTTTTAGCTTCTTTTGAAAAAGTGACCTTGCTCTTCGTGGGTTTCCTGGGTTTCCTATCCTAGGAATAGGCCTAAATCGGGTTTAAATTTTCTAATCGCGGTTTAGTTAATCTGTGGTTTAATTATCGTTGTGCAAAAATAAATTAGATTAGTGGGTAGCCTGCAAAGCAGGCGTTCTTGTAGGTTTGGGCACAGGTAGCCCAGGCTTACCGTTAGTGTTGAACAACTGTGTCGATCGACAGACAGACAGACCAAGATTATATGGGTATCATATGGGTAGTTTTGAATCTCATTTTTACGCATTAAAATAATTAAAATCAAATAAAACGTCCACCGTGTGTTGTTGATATATTGAACAACCCCAAGGTTTAATTACAGCTCATTTCGTTCGGGTTTAGATGACGCTTGCAATTGGATTTCTAAGCTATAAGAAATGCTCATCGTGATCTTTTTTCTAAGTAGGAAACAAAATTTCTTTATCTTCTATATCTTTTACCACGCCATATTGAATCAATCCTAGAGTTCATTGCGCACTCATTTCCTAGAAAACGTGAGACATTATTGAGAATCGTTTTTAAAGCTTTATTTTTATCATTCTTGAAATGCTTTTACAAGTCTAGAAATAATCAGACTCACAAATAGTTTAATCGAAAAATTTTCTTCTCCCACAAAAAAAACAAAAACAAAAAAGAGAAATGGCGTTCGACTCGGGCTATTTTTAAACGTCTCTTCCTCGTTCCTAGTCTTCATCATTCCTCAATTATACAGGAAGCCCAATTAACTGGATCTACACATTGCCCTATTTCATAATTCCGTCACAGCTTGTTTACATGAGGGACAGAATCACCGAGAACAATGAGAATTTCGACAAAATATTCTTTCTATCCGAAAGTTTGGCTTCAAATTGTCCAGTTTCCATATATGTTATGTGTCAAGGATTATCCTTCGACATTAATAGTATTTTGTTGTTATTCTTCCTTCCTCTGTTTTGTAAATGCAATTTATTGTATTTTTGTCATTCTGTCCCCCTCTGGCGACCATGATCCTTAGCGTTAAAACAATAGACTGTTTTGATGTGACGTCATTATGAAATAGGGCAATTGCGTCGCGTTATAGAGTGCAAACAATTAATCCGTGAAACACTAATAGGCCATTTGCATTATGGCGTCATTTACTACCACTACCAGACTCCATTGCACACTGTCTTTTGTTCTGTTAATTAGCACCAATTGTCTCACTATTCCCATGAGGAACTACAAATTTGAATAAGAAAGAAAATTCACGAAGCATTTTGGTAGTGGTAGTAAAATGACGCCAATGCATTTGCATTACTAAATAGTACAAAATAGTGTTAATTAAACAATAGAAAACGATGAAATTTTCATGAAATTGGGCTATTAAGTATTGCTAAAGTTTCACGGATTTACTGTGGTCACTCTATTATAAAATGATTCATTTAATAATTTCGCTGTTTTCTAGTGAAATTACTGAGTAAATTATTTCTAAATGTTTGAAAATTCAGCAGACTGGACGAGTCTTTAGCTTGAAGTTCAAAATTTCTTTTATGAGGAAGATTCTATTGAATAAACCACAGGTAGCCCAAGCTTGGTTTCTGTGGTGTCCTGTTATAAGGAAATTTATGGGGAATCATCAAAACGTGAAATAAAGCCTCGAAATTTTACCTAATCATTGAGAAATAGCACTTCTTTCGCTCTGCGTGGTTATTTTTTGAATTTAGCCCGTTTTAAGATTTTTTTTTACCCACCACTAATTTCTTAGTGGTGGGTAAAAAAAAAATCTTAAAATTATTTCTCAATGATTAGGTAAAATTTCGAGGCTTTATTTCACGTTTTGATGATTTTATTGAAATTTTTGATGATTCCCCATACATTTCCTTATAACAGGACACCACAGAAACCAAGCTTGGGCTACCTGTGAATAAACCTTTTCGGTCTCGGTTGGGGTAGAGGGATTTTGATTTCTTTTTTACTGACTTTAAAATGTGAACTCGAGGGACAACAGCTTTAAAAACCCGCGAAATTACTAGAATTTAATAGCACGAAACAGTAAAAATCCTCTTGTTTTCTATAGCACTAATTAGTTTTTTTACGGGTTTTTGTGTGCACTGTATCCCTCTATGGGACCTCACAATTGGTCAATAACCTAGGTATTCGTTCTATCAAACAAGGTTATTGTTGTTTTGAAGCAGTGTGTCCAGCAGGTTTTTATGTTCAACATCTTGTCCTGTAAGTAACCAAACTCATTTTTGTTACTGTCATAATAATGACTTTATTCAGCTCGAGTTCTGACCAAAGGTAAATGAAGATGGGACTGATACGTTCTGGAAAGTGAATCCTCCTTGTGCTTCAATACGCTTCGACTCTGAAAAACATTAAAAACAAAGGTGTTACGGAGGTGTACTACCTTTTAAGGTGGTGTTACACGGGACAACTTGCAACCCCGATTTTTCATGCAACGCTATTGCGCCATTTGTGTGTCGATTTTTTGCGACATGTTACACGGGAACAACTTTTATTTATTTATTTTATTTATTTTTATTAATTTATCAGGCTTCAACCACATAAACATTTAGTGGTATGGTCCGTACAAAAGAGCATGACTCCAAACAAAGTGCGGCCACAATATGATCACATAATAAGTAGAATATTATTACAAATGGCGTATGTTATGATGACATATAATAGTTGATAGTGTGATAATATAAATGACAATGACTGACAAATTAGTGAACTTATAATTGACTTGATGTAAATAAGAAAAAGATATGAAAATAGAATCATATAATATATTGAGACATRTCATAATGATATGCTAAGTWAAGTTCAGTAGCAAMATAATGGTTTGCTAGTAATGTCATTCGTAGTACAGCATTTAGGGCAGATTGATTTCCATGTCTTATAAGTGTCTATGCAGTAAGTGTTCAACAGACTTTTCGCGCAACATTCTCTTTAGTATTTAGTCCCCCTCCCCGGAAATCCTCGTTAACAGGCTATCTAATAATCTATTAAGCAGCCTGTTGTAAAAGTATCTAATACATGTTTTTTCTTAACTAATTTTATAGGCCCTGACAAACGGTCCCAACATTTGACCCAGCACTTTAATCCAAAATTGTTGGAAAACCATGATAAAACAGTCACAACATTCAGCCCAAAAAATGTTAGATAAATGTTGGGTCAAATGTTTGGACCGTTAGTCAGGGTCTTATGAAGCAGCCAATTATCAACATTTCATAGAGAGAACCCACCCCTCCCCCACTAATACCTAATTTAGCAACCCACCTTTATTCAAGATCTACTTAACACATTCGTAAGGGTTACCACTTAACAGAGTGTTACATTCATGTGTATGTAAGAAAAAGTAAGGCATTTTATCCTACCTGCTGCTGCAGTTCTTTGGTCAGCGTTCATAAACACTTGCTGAAGTTCGTTATTTTGTTCTTTGGTCAGCGCATTCATCATGGCAGCATACCATTGGGGGTCACGTGACTGAAGCGCTAAAATGAAGTGGAGGATAAAGTGTAAGTGTAGAGGACTGACAAAATTGGATGAGGCTGTATGCCGAGTCCTATTTGGCAGTCAGAGGAATTTTTCGAGTCTAATTATTTCTTGATTGGGGAGCAAAAAATCCCATTACCTATTAATTATATAGCTGCCTAATTAATCCCATATCAACAAGACCTGTCCAATTAAGAAAATAATTGGACAGTTACCTCTATGGGATGAATGAGAAGCTGTATAATAATAATAATAATAATAATAGTTATTATTATTATTTTACTTTGTACAGATATATTTGTTATTTTATATTCACAATCTCTTTATTATTATTATTATTATTATTATTATCAAAATTCTTTTCACATGCAACTTGTGTCACACACTTGATTATAATGAAGCGATGAATAATAAATAAATAAAGAATAATGAAATAATTATAAATAAATGATCATTGCGAGACAAGTTCAGGGGCTGACCTAGGATTTTGTTGAGGGAGAGGTGCTGCACACAAAGTTAACATAGGGAAGGGTGGAGGGGTGCGCATCCTCTGCACCCCTACTATGCATCCACCCCTGGAGTCGTAGAAGGGATGTCCTTCCCTAGGCAAAGACTTGTTCTGCCCTGTTCCCAAGTCTTCCCATCATGCATTGCAACTTTACCTAGTAGGGTTGATTTAAATGCCATATATTCATCCATGCTTTCTTCGTCTATTGCTGTTGTGTATCCTTCAAGGGGTGTCTCCTCTTCATCGTCATCCTCATCTTCATCGGTAAGGTGGTCTGATGCCTACATCAACGAAGAATCAAAATTACATTTAATCATTTTTTTCTGCGCTATAATACAATTTATAATACTACAAAATTACTCGATTCTGATTGGTCAAAAGGAGTAAAATTATATCCCAAATTGTACTCTGTAGAGTCCCAATTGACCTAATTCACTATGTTGCACTGCTTGTTTATGTGGGAGATAAATCCAATAGAAAATTTAACTAAACTTGCTCCTAGTCAAACAGTTTAATCTAAAATGGCCTGGTTTTCAGATATAATATGTGTTATTATGTTACTAAAAATATTCTGAGCGTTTGCTGGCTATTTTACTTCTCTTCGTGGATTGATACAGGATTTAGAACATTTTYCAGTTAGTTTGCATTGATTTGACCCCGTCTAACGACCATGATCCTTTGCATTAAAAAAATAGATTGTTGAAGATTGTTTTGATGTGACGTCAAAGTGAAGTAGGGTAATTAAGTTGCGTAATTTTGTTGAGTGTATTATAAACAAAAAAATCACACAATCTTCTCATACAATTAGGAATTTATAGATACTCGTGATGTTTTGAAAGTTCTCAAATTGAACTCTCCTAAAAGCTCGTTCTTTTATGAAAACTCTCAAAACATCACGAGTACTTTTAAATTCCGAATTGTACTCGAGATCGTGCGATTTCCTGTACAAATCACTGAAGAAGTGACGGAATAACCGTAGTGAAAGATTTCCTGATTCCAAAACCGCAAACCTCTGCCGTTTGACAAATAAAAAACATTTACTGTGTTTGCACACGCTAATGCAAACCGAGATGTGAATGGGAGAATTCGAGAGCAGATCAGTGCAAACACGAGCCATAGGCTCTCGGCCAATCACAGCACGTGTACTATTTGAATTATTTTATAACAGCCAATAGACCTCGTCGGCTCGGGCGTAATGTTTTCCCATTTCAGATGTCATTCCCTTTGAAATAAAATTCTTTGCTTGAGTAGTATCCATATTCATGTGTCTTCTCATGTACAACCGTTAAACAAAGAAATGATACTCTAGGGAATGACACGTGGTCTTGATAATAAGATTCTTTGTTTGAGTTGTATCCATATTCATGTGTTTTCTCATGCGCAACCGTTAAACAAAGAAATGATACTCCAGGAAATGACACATGGTCTTGAGAATAAGATTCTTTGTTTGAGTTGTATCCATATTCATGTGTCTTCTCATGTACAACCGTTAAACAAAGAAATGATACTCCAGGAAATGACACGTGGTCTTGAGAATAAGATTCTTTGTTTGAGTTGTATCCATATTCATATATCTTCCCATGTGTAACCATTATACAAAGAAATGATACTCTAGGGAATGACACGTGGTCTTGAGAATAAGATTCTTTGTTTGAGTTGTATCCATATTCATGTGTCTTCTCATGTGCAACCGTTAAACAAAGAAATGATACTCTAGGGAATAACACTACATGCTCTTGAGAATACGATTCTTTGTTTGAGTTGTATCCATATTCATGTGTTTTCTCATGTCAGCCATTAAACAAAGAAATGATTCTAAATGACACTCTAGGGAATATTTTTTTATGTGGCCTAAAGTGGAGAACATTATTCCTAAGCTAAAGAGACATGTATAAGGAGGTTTGTGTATTATTGTGGTATAACTGCATCATAAAGTTTCTCCAAGAGAAAATGAACTAAGAGAAGGAATCACCGTGTCCCATCATGTGCACACTTTGATGCTATTTTTAGAATCATTGATGGTATTTTTAACTTGTTACCTTGCCTGCGCGATAACCATGCTTCTATTTTATGCCTCGTTTTAGGACACGAAAAGCTCCAAATTTCTTCACGTCCACGACAAAAACGCAGGCTTTGTTTACTGCAAGACTGGAAGCCACCTACCCTCAAGAAATCAACCAATCAGATTCCTCGCTCAAAATATCTCCAAGCTAAAAATAGCATCAAACTGTGCACATGATGGTTACAAGGCTATATAGGTAGGATTCCTTCTCTTAGTTCATATTCTCTTGGCTTCTCAGAGTCTTAGTCATACAAAATTTATTTTCCTTCCTTACTGTACCTTCTTTGCTAAGTTCTCAATGTACTCCACTTCATCTTCATTTATTTCATCCTCATCACTTTCTAGTTCATCTATAAAACATAGTAAAGCAAAATTGTAAATATTCTGTACAAAGTCGAGGCCACCTCTGTGCAATTGAGAGCTTGAAACTGGAGTATTGATTCATACTATATGTCTTGTATGTGTAGAGTTTACCTTCTTCAAATTCTTCATCCCCTTCATCACTATCTTCTTCTTCTCCTCCTCGGTCTGAAGTAAATAAGAAATAAACATCTTTTTAAAACAAGTTACTAACATCAAGATGCTCTTTTCATGTGAGTTAGCCGTGCCCTGACTCAGATCAGCCCAGAGGTTGTTTCAGGGTTTGATCTGTGAGTTAGCCATGCCCTGACGTAGATCAACCCAGAGGTTGTTTCAGGGTTCAATCTGTGAGTTAGCTATGCCCTGACTTAGATCAGCTCAGAGGTTGTTTCAGGGTTCAATCTGTGAGTTAGCCATGCCCTGACTTAGATCAGCCCAGAGGTTGTTTTAGGGTTCAATCTGTGAGTTAGCCATACCCTGACTTAGATCAGCTCAGAGGTTGTTTTAGGGTTCAATCTGTGAGTTAGTTATGCCCT